AAGAGAGTGATCAGCATGAAAAGAGACTTTATAAACTACCAGTGACAGGAAAGAAAAGAAGCTTCAGAAAAGGTAGAGAATTAAGAAGATGCTTTAATTAAGCTGAAATATCTTTCTGTTAAAACTATGGAAATGGACAATAAGGTCTTGAAAACACTCCTTTAATTCATGACAGTATATAGGGAGGAATAGAGTGTTCAAAGTGTAAATTTTGAGTAAAAAAGTAGAGTAATTATGATACAGTCAAGTGCTGGAAGATTTGAAGCCTTGAGAGGCAATGAGAAAACTGTTTTCTAGTGAAGCTCACAGAAACAGATGAAGAAGACTTTTTGCCTTTGAATAACTTACCCTTAAAAATCCCATCCCTAGACTCATGGCCCATACACACTTGAGAGTGATGTGAAAATGGGAGGAGTGGGCTCTAATAACAGCAGCTCTGGGCAGCTAACATTAGAGCAATGGAAAACTATAACAAAAATAGTTTTCCTTGTGAGAAACTCCATAAATTAACAGGAGGAAACTTCTGTTTCTCTACAAAGACTGGTGAAAAGACTGTAGCAAGAATTGGGACTGTTTTAACCATCAAAGTTCCAAAGTTTTTGTCTCTTTTGTCATGTGAACAAGGGAATAGTGGGTAGACAGGGGATGAAAAGGTTTTTCTGGAAGTTTATTCTGGTGTTCTTATTATTGTAGTTTGTCAATAAACTTTCTTTTTTTTCCTTTTAAGTTTTATGCCTGTTTTGCTCTTGCTCTAATCCATATCTCACAGCAAGAAATAAGTAATTTTCTTAGTTATTGGTTTAAAACCACGACATTTGTTCAGAAGGCAGTTTGCCTCACTGTATTCTTGACAAAAGTGTCTTGAAAGTTAGGCCTCAGTTGAGTGTGTTTCAATAATGCAGCCTTGCAGTGCCAGAGACCTGAATGAAGTTGGTGTGATTTCCCTTTCATATCTTCTATATACCTGAAAGGAAAGGAAGGAACTTGTCCACAAGCAGAAATAATCCTCCAGGTCACAGCTGACCCACAGGACACATGGCAGACAAGATGACAAAGAGAAAAGACCACATAACTTTTGTTTAAATCACATGGAGATAGCCCTCTGCTGGACTTCAGTCTGTTTTATCTTATTGGAATTGAAATAATCTGACTTTTGTCAAGGTTCCTGTCAGTTCCAGGAGAGACAAGCAAGCTGCACCTTCTGGAAAAGTATTGCAGAGTCATTGGCTTTCATGGTGGAACTACATAACCAACCATATTTGACTTTGCAGTCTGGATTTTTCTCAGCATCTTGACCTGAGCAGACCTGTTCACAGGATGACGGAATACAGAAGTGACAATAATGAGGAAAGAGCAAATAGGTGAACTCTCCTGTGGAGAAAAAGTTTGTACTAACTTGTGTCCTGGCAGCAGCCCTGAGGCTGCCTTCAAGACAAGATTCGTTGGACATGCAGACAGTAAATCCTGAATCAGAGATGGCTGAGCAAATGTGGCCTTGAAAATCACAAGCTGGTTAATAATTATGGAGTTTGTTGGATATACAGGCTGCACTGGAAGTGCTCATGAGGGCAGGAGAGAAAAATAGAGCACAAGGTTCCTAGAGATCATGGAGACTGATCCTTCAGATCTGCACTGACCAACCCAGAAAAAGCAATTCCAAGTGTGCTTTAGCCTTCCTGACACCTGAAGCTTTGTCCTTCTAATTTTGAAAGCCAGCAGCTTGAGTTTGCCTGTCAGGTGCTGATTTTGAGGTGAGAGCTGCCTCCAGAATCAGAATTTGACTGATGGGAAAGCAGCTTGGCTGTTGAGCAGGGAGATGATCTCCCTTTGTGGGAATAATTGCTGCATTCCTTAACTGGGAGAGGAGTGGAGCAAGCCTGCCTGGGTAGGACTTACATGGAAATGGCATTTTTAGGGGAATGTTTGAAATGCATCTTACAGGCACCCAGTTAAACACTCTCTCAGTCTGGCCACAGGCCAGTTTAGAGTCCTTTGAACTTCTTGCCCTCCAGGCAGACCCCAGGGTTGAGTTTTCCTACAGACTTCCAGGATGCCAGGTCATTGCTATCCACAGTGAAGAGAGCCCAGCTGCCTGAAGTCTCGCCCCCAGCTCTGTGTTTGTCTCGTTGGCCCTGATTGTGGTTTCTCAGGCTCATCCAAAGGCAGGCATTGTTTTCTGCAGCTTCTGTGGCACTGTGTCCACTGGCAGACCTCTGTTTTTAGCAGGGTTAGGAGTCAGACCACAGCTGGTAGCCAGGCAGTCTGCCAGTGTGCTGGGCACATCAGCCATTTCTCATGATATAGAGCAGCTGAGCTAGATTTTTCAATTTTTTTTTTTTAATTTTTTTTATTTTTGTGTGTGTGTGTGTAATCTTTGAAACAAGTTGAGCTTGCCATGTGGGCAAAAGTTCTGTCAGTCCTGTGCTTGCCTGGATCCAACTGTGGCAAAGGCACAAGAGTTTGGGAGCATATTTCTCCTCCTGGCTTAAAACTTACTCTCATCATATTGTGCCTGCATGCACAAAACCTCCTGGTAAGACACCGAGGTCCTCTTTCTAGGTGCAGATCCTCAGTGTGGTGCGTGTAGGCAGGGAAATAAAATTAAAAGTGTGTGCAAATTCAGAGGCTGCTTTTGCAGCTCTCATGCACCATATGCTGCTCTCGGGAGAGGAGGATTTCAGCCCGACCAACAGGCTCCTGTGGGAGTGCTTCACTGCTGCTTTGCTGCCCTGGACGGAGGCTTTGCTTGAAGTTATTACCCCTGAACCAAAAGCAGAGCTGAGTGGCTCTCATGGTCTTGTTATTCTGCGTGGTCCTGCTTTAAGGGATTGATTCAGTGCTGGTTTCCTACTCTTTCTTCAGGAGCTAAGTTTTAGACTTTCCTCTTTCAAGGCAGGAAAGGATGAGAGAGGAAGCCACAATATTAATCCCTGCACAGACACACTGATTCTGCTCTTCTGAGGTTATTATCCTAAAACAGGAAAAATAAAGCTTCCATTGCTTTGAGAATGGCAAAACTAATTCAGTGGGATTTCCTATGGGTCTAGTTCATTTTCCTTAAACTCACCCTTTAAAAGCCCAAGAAACCAGACCCCACGGTTTCTCCCTGACCACTTGTGTGGCTAAATGGCAGTGTGTGCAGTGGCTTTTGAAGATTCCTTTGCATCCCTAAACCAATGGACATGCTGACTTCCAGCTCTCAGAATGGATAAGGGGTTGGAGCTACACCACAGAGGAGGCACAAACCCCCACTGATTTCTATTACTTAGCTCTCCATTTCTGTACCACGAGTTTAGTACCTCTGAAATATCTACGTCTGTCTCAAGTGTGGTTGAAATTGGCCAATGGATTCAAAAGTTATTAGAGGGGATTAAAAGACAGACAGCATGACCAGATAAGCCTTTTTTCCTCAGGAAACTAGGCTAAAAAGGGAGAAAAAAAAACAAACTAGTGCAAGGACTCCTGTGATGTCCTTTCTGCATCCTGGTTTTTTTCACTGTCTGGAGTAGTTAATACTGAAAGCTCTGAGTATTTACAAAGGATTGGTGCAGCATAAACAGAAATGGTGCTCTCCTTTCCTCTGACTGTTTATTTACGTTACACCTGCAATACTGAATGTCATCAGTCCACTGATGTGAACCCTCCCACCGAGTCCTCTGTCTCAGCAGCTGGAATCTGGTGTGTGTAGAAGTGGCTCAGAGTTACCCCATCTGAAACCCCCCCTGCCCAAAACAGGATTAAGTTTCCAGGAGACAAGCAAGCCCCATGGATTTGTCCCTGTTTGTTGAGGGGCTGTAAGAGAAGCCAAGTCATTTTTAGCTTTGAGCAGGTGAAGACTCTGCTGTTTCTTCTCAGTCAAGGTGTGAATGTGGAAATATTTTAAGTGAGTAGGCAAAATAGGCTGTGCTTATTTCCTATTAGTTCCTATTATATATATATATATAGTTCCTATATATATATATAGGTTATAAATATAATATAGTTCCTATTTCCAGCCTCAAATACACCCTGGACTGGCACCCTTTACAATGGACAACTTTTTACAGTCTAGGATCTGCCAGGGTTGCAGACTCTGGGAGGTGAGGAAGCCCATGGGGTGCTGTGCTTGGGCTCTGGGGAAGAGGATGCCACTTTGCACAGCAAAGCTGTGACCCTTTTATCCCTGTGTGCATCACAGAGCAAACTCATTGTGATCCCATGATCCTGGAGGAGTGCTAGGATGGGTTTGGATTTAATGGAATCTTTCATCTGAGAGAAGGCTGGGAAAATAGTTAGCATCTGTTGCAAGAAGAAAAATAGTTAAAGCCTGTGCAGGTACTAAGACTTGGAATTTAATTTCAAGCTAAAGATAGATCTGAAGATAGATCTGGATAGTTTCTGGAGATGGATCTTGAAATGTGAAGGAAAGGTATGAAGTTAGGATTTGGGGCTCTGGTTATCTTGGCATTTCTATCCCAGTTTTCTGTGTTATGTAGCACAGCTGGTATATGGCTTTTCAAGCAGACAGAGAAATCCAGAAATAAAAGGAAGAGCTGTCAGTGAACCTGCCACCCCCATACACAAGTCCAGTGAGGCAGCTGGGCTGCAGTGTTCCTCCCTCCCTTCCTGCTCCTGTGACATTCCTGTTGTCCCAGCATGTCCTTCAAAGCATTGCTGGGGCCCACGAGGTGGCTTTGAAGAGCAGGATGAGGAACGACCTCCAGCTGACAGCCTGGAGAGACTCTTGTCCCCCTGCACCAGTAGGGCTGGGGTTCTAGTATTTTCTGAGCATTCTCAAAAAAAGTGGTTTGATGGCTCAGAATCAATGCTTTGGACTCTGCTTGGAGGAATCTGGATGAGGTGGTGGGCAAAGGGGTTGTTTGAGGTGATGGATGCCAGATTAAATTCACACCTGCCAAGGAAAAGGTTTCACCTGGTTCTGTTTGGGCCTTCAGACCTTCTGAGCATGTTCTACCCTCAGGGTGCAGCTGCACTTTCTGTATGGGAAGGCAGAGGATAATGGGCTGGGAAAAATCTTTGGGAAGATGGGATGCCTTCATCTTGCTGGTGGAAGCGGTAAATAACCTCACACCTTTCTGCCTTCTGTCAATCCACAGTGTGTTTGTCCAGCACAAAATAATTTCATCTGGTGCTGCTGTCAAAGAACAAAAAATAGCAACAGGAATTTTTGGGGCTGGGCTTCAGTTTAGAGGCTCAAAATGTCTGTGCAGAGTTGGAAATCCTTCCTTGCCCTTCCCCCTCAGATGGGCACTTAACATGGTGAAGGAATGCATGATACCCTGCCTAGTCCTCGGGATTATTATTTTATTTTGTTGTCTGTGTTAATCTAAAGCCCCTGACCATGCAGCAGAACTTCAGCCAAGTACCTCCTTGGAGGAGTCTGGGAGGAGGGAATTAACGTGGTGTGTGAAATGAAGGGAAGTTAAAAAAGGCCACTGTCTGTGACCCTGCTGCCCTGGAGGGACCAAGCTGCCCTGACCCTGCTCCATCAGGTGTGCAGCTGGGGGAAACCCCCTGCGCCACTGCAGCCAGGAAAAGCTCTGAATGCAGCTCCGTGTCGAAAAGCAGCTTCCCAGCTGAAGTCTGGCATTCCCTCTGCTCCTGGGGATGGCAGGGCTGCTGCCTTTTGGTGACCTGCTCTCCAGAGGCTGAGAAGAGAGATTTGCTGCCCCTGGCTGTGCTGGGCTGGTTTATGGGAGATGTGGGTGCACACTGTGTGCTCCAGGAGTGGCTCACCCCACGCCCAACAAAACACTTTATGCCTCTACCCAGGCCCTCATCCCTTGGCAATGTTTATCCTGTTCAAGGTTCTGCCAAGTGCTTCTCCTACCCCAACCCCCTGCTGGAACAAGCTCACACCCATTGTTTACCTTTGCTGCTAATTTGTGGTGGTTTATTTTTCTTCCTGTGCCGCAAGAGGTACTGCCTGATATAACCTAACTCTGACAGACTCCTGATAGCAGCTCCCTCCCACCCTCCCCATTCCCGTTCATCTTGTGGCTCATTTTGAAATTGCCATTATTTCATCCCTCTGGGGCACCAGCTAAGGCTACCCTGATGATGGATGCTGCCAGACCAGATGCATAAATATTAAGAAAGCAGAAAGAACCAGACCTGCAATTTCTTTGTGTAGAACAGTGATGAGGATACTGTTCTTACAGCTGACCAGCACAACTGCAGTCTGAGCTCCAGGTTTAGAAAGCTGTAGATGCTGGTTAAAATGAAGATCTAACTGGGGTTAACCAGCTTGTGGTCAGGCAGAGAAGCAAGCATGCTGGTTATACTGGAAATTATTTGTAGGCTGCTACTGGGTTTGTTCAGCACACTGGGCTGGTCTCTAAATGTATATTGTACTTTGTCTAAATTCTGATGCTGGCAGTGCAAGACACTTTTGTGACTAGATGATATTTGCACAGTTTTCTGGATCTTGACATGCAAATATTGGACCCTGGAAATGATTGTGCTGTCAGTCTGGTGTGTAACACTTGTAGTGCAGTGTCACAACTTGCTTACATGCCCCCCTTAAGAAATCAGTATGGGTTTGCCTGGAATTGCTAGAGGTTCAGTGCTATCAGAAATATTCAGATACTGCAAGAACAAAAAATCTTGATTAATGCTGAGTTAGCTGTCTCCCCTCTAATGCTGTTTCCAGTTCAATGGATGTCTTGGTAATGGTGTTTGATCTGAAGGCCACAGACTTACTGATGGTCACAGCTCAAAATACCATCTCTCCTGATAAATTATGCCTCTCTCTTCTAAGAAGCGCAGCAAGGAACAACATCTATAAAAGCAAGGGGGAAATCTGAGCAGTCCCAACAAAGACTCATAGCAGCACTGCTCAGGGTAAGAGCCAACATGATTGAAGTAAATTTCCAGAAGGGAAATTTGGGAAAGGCAAATTGGATGCTAGTGCTGCATCTTTTTTTTTGGACCCCGCAGCACAGAAAGGCTCATGGTGATTCTTTTCCTTCCTGTCCACATCCCTCCGCCTGTCTAGCCCACCTTAGGTCAGATATAGCTTTGAGAATTTGAGGTTATATAGCTCAGAAATAGTATTGAAAAGGCACAGGATATTCTTCTTATGGCTCAGGGCTGCAGCTAATAGTGCAAAGAGTTTTTGATTGACTAAAATCAGCTTAATATTCACAGTCTCCAAAACGTAATCTCTTTGTTATTATGTCTGAGCACTGAGAGCAAGGGCTGTTGGTGTAGTCACACAAAGCTCTCAAAAATCCTGCACCCAATCCCAAGTGAGAAAGCTGGCATTTTGTAAAATCAAGGACTGTGAATGTAAAATAATCCTCATCTTGCTAGAGGTGATCTCTCAAGATTTTCATGGAGTATCCTGGTGATATTGCTACACTTCCAAGGATCTCACTTTGTCACTTTTCATGCTCATCAGGAAAAAGAAGTTCATCAGGTTAACATTTTCCAAGACTATTAACTTTCACTCATAAAAAATGTGCCAATTACCTTCCTCTATTTAAAACTATCAATCAGGGCCCATTATATTCCCTGTAGCAGGAAGGCTGAAAGACACCACATTCCAGACCGTACAAAAAACCACCTGAAATTCCAAAATTCCTCACTTCAGTCTACACACTCCAGCAAATCCTAACATCCAGCTGTTTGTAGAGCTCATGTGTTTCCTGAAGACAAAAGCTTTTGCTTTGTGCCAACCTTTGAGCATCCATTGAATGCTCACTGATCTTGGTGGATCAGAGCAGATTGTGTGGTGCTGCCCATCTGCCCATCGGATGCCTGGGCTTACTTTTTAATAAGAGCAAGGAGCTGGATGTAATGTCATGCAGTCATAATTCTTGGCAGTTGCTATAGTTCATATGTTTATTGGAAGCTGAAGCTTTGGAGCATTTTTCAGATGTCTTTATGCTTCCTGCTTTAGTGCTTGGGTTTTTTTTCTCAGCTTAGCTCCCAGGGTCCCAAAGCCCTGTTTATTAGGGGAAGAACCATGTGTCCAGTGGAGTGTTCCATGGGGAGAGTGACTATGCTGACAAAAGGTGAACAAGCCCAGGAGCACCTGCCTGGGCAGTGCATGTTTGTGAACTTAGAGGGTTTTTAGATGTTTTGAGAAGGACAGGGAGATAACTTTTCCTGTAAAAGAGCTGGGTATGGAGTTTTGGGGCTAATCTGAGAGATGATGGACTCTCCCTTAAAGAGAAGGAAAGTTGTGTCAGACTGACTTGGGAGAAGGCAGCACTTTCTGCTGTCTGAAGTGGACTGCAATTAAATCATCTGACAGGCATTTAGGGATTGCACTGAGGCTTGGAAGCACAGCTTGAAACAGAGGAGATTATAGGACAGGTGGAGTCAGGGGAGGGTCTTTAGCTAGTTCATCCACAAAATTTCCTTGTACCACATGCTGTCTCAGCCACATGGATATCTCAGGAGAAGGTTCCAGAGGGCTGATGGAAGTATTTCCCTCTGCAGTCCTGTTGTCCACTCCCTGTGCCTTGGCACTGAGTGCTCAGCATCCCTGTTCACCTAAGTCAGGCTGGCATGTGCTCCCAGCCATGAAAGGAGGACAGTGCTCCTTGCTGTGCAGTGATGAGGGAGAGGAGATGCTCCTGGGGCTTCACAGCCCTTGATGTGAGCTTTGGAAGCTGCAGGGAGGATGATTTCTGGGATTTTCTGGGGCAGCCCTGAAATGCAAGAGACAAGACTCACAAGTCTCCCTCATTTCTTCTTTTCCCATTACTTCCATCTCAATTTAGGATGTAGGAGAGCGAGAACAGAGGATGCTTGGAATTCCCCCACTCTTACAGCCCCAACCTCCTGAATAAGCAGAGTAACGCTGGAGTTTCCCCTCAGGAAGGTGACATGGTATAAAATTTCTTCTAGGACAAAATTTCTTCTTTTAATAAGAGCCCCATTTAAATAATCAAAGTCCCAGAGCCAAGATGCAATGGGCCCATGTGCCCAGGAGAGCGTTTCAGAAAACTTTTACCCAACAGTTGGTCTGAGATCAAACAGACTTGGCATTGCGCTGTTTCCTGGATAACACGCCGTCATTATTTATTCATCTGAACCAAAGTGCTTGATGTTTTCATGCTGTCAGTTAGACAGAGCCATATCGTCTGCCTCCCCTTTTTTTTTATTAATTTGTTGTGTTTCAAGAAAGTTTTGAAGCTGCTGCAGTGGGAAATCCATAGCTTAAGTGGCAGCTTGCTCATCTTTTATTTATTTTTGTAATAATCCCGTTGTAACTCATTCAAAGCTCCAAACGATTCTTGTCCTCAATCAAAAGTCTCATGTTTGGATGAGACTATAATGATGATTTCTAGAAGAAAAGCATGTTTTCCTGGCTTTGAATAGGTATTGTCACTTTTTTTTTTTTGCTTTGTGATTTAAAGAGATATAATATGTTTGGTCAAAAGCAAGTAATTTTAAAATTAATTTTTATATTTGGATTAAGATGACTATGTGAAATTCCCAATTTTTTTATATATTTTTAAAACACAGGGACAGGAATATCAAGCCAGTGGGAGAACCAGCAATGGGATGTGATTAGGGTGATTTCTGGCCTGTTTCCCATCGTTCTTGGAGAGAAAGTATTTTTTCCCCCTATGAAAAATGGTGATTTTCTCTGATAAATCTGTTCCCTTTTCAGTTTGGAGGCTTCTTTGTGGCAGAATGAAATTTGTAACTCAAAGTAGATGCTCTTTACTCAAATGCTTCTCTATTGGAAAAGCATTTTTCCATAGAAATAAAGTTTCAATAGGAAATTTGCAGTCAGCTGTTCCACATGACAGGCAATGCTGCTCCCCCTTCCCCTCCAAAGGGTGATTTCATACAGAACCTGCACTTCTGCATATCCATACCGGTGCTGTGGTTTTATAAGCACATTTCCATATTTTGAAATGTTTTCCTGTCTCCTGTTTTTGTGTAAAACATCCTCACAAAGAGGGAGGATGATTAATTGGAAACTACAGAGGAAACTACAAAATCAATTGCACTCAAAGAACTGTCTAATGTAGAAACTAAACAAACAAAAAACCCCAGAGGATTATATGGTTTGTTCCTCTCTCCTTATTCAG